ACTATAAAATCTGCAAAGGCCACAACAATTTGCTCATTATCTTTTTATGTAAGAGATTTCTTGCTTGAATATTTGGATGTAGGGACTAATGATCAAGGGATGTTTTTGTTGAAGTTCTGATTCACTTTTAGATGATATTTATTATTATTGGTAATTTAAGAATTGATATTTAAATTGTTGTCTATTTAACAATTCAAATAATAGAAACAAAATTAAAAATTTTCAAACTTTTTAAACGATTCAAACAATTCAAACTAATTTCAAACAAATGGAAACCGAACATGAACAGTCCTTTCACGAACAATTTCGAACCCGAGCCTATTTCAAAAAACTATAATTCAAACGAACCGAACACGAACACGAGCACTGTTCATTCATGTTCGGTTCGTTTACACCCCTAATCCTGTATGACTTAAGATTTACATTTTGTCTCATCAATTTAAAATCCTTTAAAATATATAATCATATGTCTATTATTTTCCTTTCATTTATGAAATCATTTTAGACTTTCAAAATGTCACACATGAATGAAATATTTGTTTTAAATCATTTAATAAAATAATTATTCATTAAATAAAACATTAATTTAATGCATAAAAGAAAATAATCACTTACCCTTGCTTATAAAAGACTTTTGAAATATTTCTCATCCACTAACTTCTTTGGACCGCCTATATTAATTAAATATGCAAATTTCTATATTAATCTCATCTAAAGAAAACTTAAGCATATAGATTGGCATATGATTAAATTGACACGTAAACATAAGTATATTGTTCCTTACCTTAAAAGGTCTTATTTGCTTCTTGCAAAAGATTATCTTTCTCCCTCAATTTCAAAACTATAACTCCCTAGCCTTAAGTACTTTCTGATTCTAAGTAAACTTTATTTTAACATTATATATATATATATACCTACAACCGATAGCAAAACCATGGCTGCCCTAGCAGAGACGACGGAGACGACAGAACTGTGATTCTATGGCTTAATCGCTTCTATTCGGCGTCTCCCACGACAACGTTCATGTAGCTGCAGCTCCCTGTCTCTCCTGTTGAGGTCGAGCGCTCCAAGTCGTCTCCATTGTCGACAAGGATCGCTAGTGTTGTCATCTTCTGATCCATTGACGACGGCGCTTTCTCTTGCAGTCGTCTCCCGTAACCGATGACATCGTGGTTGTCTCGTCTCCTGTAGCCGACGGCGTCGCGGTTGTCATTTCGCCCAACAGCGCCCGGTTTGCTCTCTTCTTTGCAGCCCGCCAAACTGTTTCTTTCCTGACTGTGACCATCTTGTCAGGGAGATGGCATCGATGCTCCTTTCCTATGCAAATGCCCTTGCCAGCGGCTTGCCCATTTATGCTCGTGCCCCTCCTCCAGGTTCAGAGTCTGTTTTTGCTATCGGTAAGTCCTGCAATGTTTCACAATCGTTCCACGAGACTCTTGAAGGTGGAGGTGATCACACTTTTACTAAAGCTTGGAAAAAAATTAGGAAATCTGCACTTACTCCCACAGAGGAGGAAACCGGAACTCTCGTGTCCTCTTGGTGTTTTGCCCTTGTGGGGAAATTCCTTTATGATCACTCAAAACTGGAGATCATTAGGAAGGAGTTTGATGCTATAAAACTATTGGGCAGTTAGCACATTGCCAGCACATTGCCCTACTTGATTGACGGTCGACATATACTTATTCAACTATCTCACGATACGGATTACACTTGCATTTTCTCTCGAAAAGCTATTACGATCGACAATCGTTTTATAAAAATTTTGAATTGGACTGTCTATTTTGATTCAAAAGCGAAGTCCCCTATCATTCCAGTTTAAATAAAGTTTTCGGGGTTAAAATTACATCTGTTCAACATGAAAATTTTCTACTCTTTAGCAACTGATGACAGTAAGCCTCTTAAGGTGGATTAGTCAGACGCTTGTTGTCACCAGAACTTCTGTGGCTTGTGTATTAGTTGAGAGAGATATCATTCTACCAACTCCGCATTCAACCAACTCCGAATGAGATATGGATTGACACTATTCCCAACGGGTATGTTTGACCACATACCGATACTATTCCCAACGGGTATGTTGAGAGAGATAAGCAAAGTGTTGAAATAGAAACATATCCTCCTTATTGCTCACATTGTAGTATGTTTGATCACAGTTCTAATATTTGCTATCGTTTGCATCCTCATCTAAAACCGAATATCGCTAAAGTTCAGTCATCTACCATCCTTGCTGAGAAGTTTCAATCTGATCCTCTTTCTAACATCTTAGTTCAAGATTAAGAACATCTTACTACAGGTGTAGATCCAAATGTGATGACACCACTTACCGTTATTGAAGAAGTCTCACTTACATACCAAGACACACGAGAGTGTTCTTTCGACCCGAAAGAAGATCAGCTGGTACAACAAGTAGTTGTCTCTAATGTTCAACAACTTACACATATTCTGCACACTTCAGACCATTTTGCTGATCAGGTGAGTCAATCCTCGGAAGAGGAATGGTAGGTCTACACGAGAAGAAAGAAGAAGAACGGAGGACGACTCGAGCTAGGGAATTAATTGAATGATACATTAGTTACTACTGGCAATAGCACTCATCTGACCAATTTATTAGCTTGCTCCTTCCCTAGAACTAGAGGCAGAGGCAGAGGCAAAATTGGGTCGCTCTCCAGCTACCTGATACTCCTATTTGATACTTTTTAGTTTTTATTTTTTTAAATTTCTTATGTACTGACTGTATTTTCTCTTTTTTGAAACCATTTGATATGGTGGTTTTTGTGTAGGTTGGGTGTCATTTTTGGGATCTCCCACAAAATTTATCTGTACCCTACTTTTTATTTAATATATTAGCCTTTGGGATTTAAAAAAAATATATAACATTTGAAAAATTAACTTAATTTAAATCTGACGATTTAGGTTATAATTTTCTCGGATCAATCTCCTCTCTCCCTAACAAGCTCCTCCAACCTTTCCTTCGAATATGAAATCTCTATTTGTTAAATTTTTTATTTCAATAAAACTTTCCATTAATATTATTATTAAACATACATTTTAACACATATATGTGTATTTATGTAACAATATATTAATTACTTAAATAATAAAACTTTACCTTACCTAGCCCAAACCACACTCATGAACACTCGAGCTCTCCTTCCCTTTCTTCATTTGTCCTGTCTCACCAAAAATAGAGCACGCAAGGCCTCGACTCCTTCCTCTACGACGCATCTCAGCCCGACAAGCTCTCCTCCTCTTCTTAAAAGAGCCATTGGCTGCCCCTTCCCTCATCTTCCTCCACGATTTTACAATTTAACCAGCGCACGAAGCCGATTACCCCCCCC